GAGCGCCACGTTTCGCTCTCCTGCTTTGCCTGTTGTTCTTTCTCCTCCTTTCATCTTTCCCTCCCTGCTCCGTACTTCCACCCCTCTGCTTCTATCTCCTTTTAGTTGCGTAGTAGAAGAGATAATCCTGCAGATGATGCCAGTTGCACGCTTTATAGTTCTAGAGAAGGTGAGAGTATCTCAGGAGAGAAAGTGTACTTGAGGTACTAATGAGGTCTGGGGAGACCCAAACTCTGCTTAATGGTGCCGACAGATATTTCATCAGTCCTTAAGCAACGGCTACCATCATCAGGCTCATCACCATCGATGCAGCGTTAACTACACCCTCAGCATATTCGAGTACTATATAATACAAGGTAATGATATGATTGAAATCAAGACTTTGGACTCAAAAAAGTGGCACAGAATTGATGGATGAAATGAACAGATGTAAAATAAACTATTAATAGGCCATTGTGAGACACTGACTTAATACTTCCTGCAGGCTATAGGTGAAAAAAATGAATTTAAGCCTTTCTAATAACCCTCAGAGCCTTTTTTAAAAGTCTCCACTCAAGGTGTGACGATCAGGTGACCATAAAACTTTAGACATTTGATACATTTGAAGACTTGCTTTCACCTGAAGCACGGTTTCATGTTTCAAGTTTTCCCGTGTGAACATACTGCATAGAAACCTGTTTGGAATTAGCGTGTAACATGGGTTTTAGATTTGGCGTCTTGCTTTGTAAACATTTTTTTGTAAACATTCTGTGAATTGCGTTGCCCAAACTCAAAAGCGGGGCTTGATACCACTCTCATAACTGCCTGCTTGATAGGAAGCCAGCAGCCAAAGCTGAACTCAGCACAGGCCTGAAAAGGGAGCGTGAGGATAGGCTGCGAAATCCTCTAAAGCTGAGTCATTCATTTTGTTTATTTACTCTGCTATAAACTGACTTTTCGGTTTTACAGGGGATTATATGAGAGAGACGGTTTCTTGGCTAGGTGCAGTTGCTTCCTGGAGTCTCCGTCGGCCGCTGAGCACCCGCAGTGACACCCTGCTGATATGCCGCCGGCGTCGTTCTCATTCTTTATATTAGGCATAAGTTAACCATGCTGCTGGCTGTGGCTTCATATCGAGTGGCATCAGTGTGAAGTCAAATAACTGTTCATTTAACTTATCAGTCATGTTGGGGTAAAGCTGGGTAACTTCTTTTAAAAAGGTTGACAGGGCCATCATAAAATCCCTTTTTCAAAAATGATCCTTTAAGAAGTTTAAGTGCCTCAGGTTTAAAACCTAAAATCACGTTGGCAGCCAAAAGTGCTGTCTGGGCATCCCAGGCTGATATGTATTGATTTTTGATCTAATCTCAGCCCGAGGAAGCAGAGATACAGAGACCCATAAAGCAGACCGATTCTCACACATTTCCACGCTGTGGAGAGAAAACAAGACCGAGGCCTCAAAGATGGAAACGCTGATAGTGATTTCAAGGTCTTTCCAATATTTTAGGTCTCCCCTTCTCTGTATTGAGTTCCTCCAGTAGATTTAATGTGGCGATATACACGTCTTATTGTTTTGTCTGAGATGGGAGAAACAAAAAAGCTGTGATCCTGCGAAACCCCCACTGATAACATGAAAAACAGGAATTCTTAGCTGGGTTACACACGCTTTGTTTCAAGCATCATGGAGAGTGCTGAGAGAAGGTTTTCTTTCCAAGTTCCTTAGACTGAGAGAAGGTTCCTGAATTAGTCAAGATAAGCTATACAAAAACAATGCACGCACGGTATGAAGCTTATCATGGACGACTATATTTTCCTTTGCAACTTCTTCCAACGGAATGATCAGTAAAACTCAGTCCTACTTCACATAACACAAAAAATAGTTATTTTGAACGGGTTATACAACAATATGTGAACAAAACGCATCTCAGAAAAATGAATTCCACAAAATGAAGTGCGCCCATCAGCTGTGCAGCTGGGCTATGTGCAGAGAGTGAATCTGACTTTATAGTTTAACTTGCAGTATAACCTCTGATCAGATGTGGGTGTAGTGTGTGCCAGAGTCCACTTTTTATCCAGCTAATTGTAATGCAAATCTATACTATTCTGGACCAACGGCTCCCTCATCAAAACAGTGACAGATGGTTGAAAATGTATTTTAAAACCGGTCAGTCTTTTTGGAATAGAAGCCGTGAGGAGGCATTACAGCGCTCTATATTAACAACGAGAAAATGGCGGCTAAACGAGGATAGATGTGTGAATTAGAAATGAGGGCCATGTGGAGCCTGCCATTTTTAGACCTATATTTAGGGCCTGTTAAAAGAATAATGACCATCAAAGGCCTGTAAAAGAGAGGAATTGCCATCAGAGCCCGTATCCAAAAGGTGATTTATTACACTCTAATGGGAAGGAAATGGTCCTCTGCACATCAAAGGACAAAGCAACATTGTATAAAGAGACCGAAAATAAACTTATTCGCCCCACAACGCCCACATTTTCTTCTCCTCATGCATGTGAAACTCGACTGATCGGCTGTTGAACATCGAGTGTATTTCAGGGAGTTGAAGCATTGAATTCCATTTCAAAGGATAAGCAGTTTGAACCAAGTACAGATGCTCATCGCAAGCAGGGAGTGGAATGTGGATTTGATGGGTTTAAAATGTCTATTTTTATGATCAGACTCTCGAAGTACCCTTGTAGTTTTTTTCTTTGAATGTCAAAAATGTACACTTAATTTGTGCCAGCTCCCACCATCTATCGGTGGCCTCGCTGACACTTGTTAAGTTTCAACCATGCGAGCCGCAACGTTCAACAGCTGGGGAAATCCAACAGTGTCAGCTGTACGGTTTTTCTCGTGGGTTTAGCAAAGTGGGTGGAACGCTGCTCGACATGCTACCTGAGTTGGAATTGCTTTTTGCCTCATTACAAAGGGAAAAAACAATGCTCGTAGCCAGCACTTGATGAGAGATGGAGTGAGAACGAGAGATCTGGGCTTGGATTTCTGTGCCTACTGAGCTGATAATCAGTCCTACAGAATCACTGGCTCAGTTCAGCAGGAACAGGAATCCAGTCCACTCACCACCAGAGCAGAACCAAACGGACGTCACATGAAAGATATGAGTTATGGAACAGTTTTGGGGGTTTAGAAATACGATCGATCCATGGCAGGACGGCAGCTTCCACACAGCAGGGGCGCTGGAGTCAGATTAAATGCACTGTATTTTTTTAAGAGAATATTCTACATCGTTTTATTAACAGGTGAAGAAATATTTGGGAGCAAATGTATTTTTAAAAAAAAACCATCTGTGTGATAGGCCTGGGACTTCTTGGTAAACCTGGCTGCAGAAAGATATTGGTTAACACTTTAAATGTACTGTTGTCGTTGTTTTTGTTGAATATTTTGGATTTTGAACTTGGTGACATTGAGAGCAAACGGAAAAATGTCTTTTTAGGATATAAAAATGTGTTTTATTTAATTCAAAATATTTTCTACTTGTATGTCCTGCATCTTAGCCAATGACACCTGCGTTGGATTCCTTAGACTAGACTAAAACCTGCATTGTGTGTTTGTCTTCACACCACATAGATAACCCGTTAGAGCATTGTAAGCATCTACCAAATGTTCTGTAAGGCTCCTGTGTGAACATATTCTTCATTTTCTTCCAGGTTGCTGACTACTGGCAGGAGGGACAGGAGTTTGGCACAGCAGCCGCACGAGAGTCCAGCACTCACCTGCTCGTTTGCCTGGATGCTGCAGAATAGCTCAGCAGTGTGAAAACCAGAGGGTTGTATTCATGCTCTGCAACTAAGGCCAACTGGCAAAGTTTGGAGCACAGCAGTTCTGTTCATTCAAGTCTAAGAAATAGCTGGTATGTGCTAGATATGTGCACAATTAGTCAGCCGGAGGCTTGAATGCTGGTATACTTGCTGGTCAGCTGAAGTAATTATTCATATTTTATTAACCCTCTGAGGACTGAGTCATCAAAGGTGTTAATCCCGATCCCCTCATATGAAAAAAGAAACAGATATTTGTGTAAAATAAGACATAATGTGTGATGGGTCTGTATAGTCTCTATTGTCTTTATTCCATGATTGCCAAGACAGCCACTTTGTTAGGTTCACCCATTCAACTGCTTCTAAAAGCAGATTTCTGATCAGCCAATCATATGACAGCAACTCAATGCATTTATGCATCTTTGGAAGTGGCGTGCTTTTTAGAACTAATTGCAACTTGGATCTCAGAGGGTTAATGTACAATGCCAGTGACTGGAAATTGTTAACCAGTAAAATTGAAAGTTCTGCACATTTTAATATATTTGGTTAATGAATAAATTGATTAACAGCTTTAGATGACTCAGTTAAACACAAAATATTTGTACGGACAACGTTTAACCTCATCCGTCAAATTTGGCTCAATTTTTTGACTGTTTGCTGATTTCCCACCAGTCAGTTAATCCAATTTCATTCTCCTATTTAAATGTAGGAAAAAAAGTGAATTGAAAAGTGAATTGTAACCCATAACTATACAATCTGTTCATTATGAGATGTTGTATTGTTGGTGTGGAAAGAGAAAATAGAAAAGAAATAATGTAATTATGTAAAAAACAAAACATATTTCAAGGAAAAGTCACTGCATGTTCATCCAAGCTGAGCTGCTGTTAGTGTCTGTTTGTGTAGGTGTGTGTGTAAGTGTGAGTCTGTTTAGTCTAAAGTCACGATTCGGTTCTTTGGAGTTTAGACTGGAAATTCTTTGAGGTGAGTAATGTTTTTCGAGTTTTTTCGGGGTTTTTTCCTGTATTGAAACAGGCAACTCTCAGGGCATTTCTACATGTGCTGCTCTGCAGATACTAACGGCAAACCTGTTTGTGTATAATTGATTTTTTGTATTTGCTGTTTATGTTAAAATAAAATGATGTTTTGTTAAAAATCCGTGTACAGCTTTTGTTTTAGAGACAAAACAGAGAAAAGCTGAAGATTAGTCAGGCACTCGTGGATGTTACACTGATTTTATATGTAAATTACACATCCGAGACACTTATTACAGCCAGGCAGACTCCATAGCACCTGGAGGAGAAATGTTGCGGCAGAGCTACAGGAGATGGGCTACACCTGGAGGGAAGCTCAGCGTGGAGGGAACTTGATGTGGTCTTATGTCCCACTATGACATGCAGAGGATAAGAAGGCGAGGAGACTTATAATAAGGTGTTTCATAACAAGTGCATTTAATTGATTAATATGAGGATGTATATCTTTTGTTTCACAAATCCAGAGCATAAAAATAACAAAAAACAGCGCAGCACTAATGTTCTGCTAATACTTAATGGTTCAATGACATTTTTAAGCGCACAAATTCCAGAAATCACTAATTTTTCATTTGAATGATGCATCATACAACAAAAACTATTTCCTGAATAATGAAAGAAGCCAAAAATTAATTCTTCTACAAACTATACATGCATAGTTTGCATAAATACATGCACATGTATTTGTTTACATTCTGTCCAACTCCAGCAGCAGTCAGCTAGTAGTAACAGTAAGTGTAATCTAAAAGCACCGTTTGCTTCCAGTTTTAAATCAAATGTGACCTAGACCTTGAGCTTTACAAACAATAAAGCTATTTACATACAGTACAAGTACATACAGAAATATCTGCATGAGTGACATTAATCATTTACATTTATCATACACTCAGCACAGTTGGAGCATGTTTTTCAAGCCAGAAACAGTAATTACACGACGATAACTGGCATTTGGCTTTCCTCCCCACAAACCTACGTCTTACAGTCGGCATGTGTAGCATGAAGGATTTATATTGTGAGGCAATTATGAGAGTGGGAGGACTCTGACACGTCGTACGAGCTGCTGCTGCTATGCAGCGTGATCTGTCACGCAGAGTGTCCTTGTGGGCCTCGGCAGTTGTTTGTTGTGTGCGTATGTCTGTGACCTGGCTCCGTTGTTTTGACACAGTCCTGTCACCGCTCCACGGTATATCAACAAGAGAGCATGGCTATTTGTTATTCTGCAAACGAGCTAAAAGCCCAGGGATGAGCGCACAGTTGCGTGGTTTTGTACAATTTTGTATGTAATTGTGCGTGTGTGCCTATTGCTCACTCTGAATGCATTTGCGTTATCGTCTTTTGAAGTTCCTTGATCCTTAGATGAACTGTGTCTCTTGATAAACAGCATCCTTCGTTTAGTCTGAGCTCCAGTGAGCTGAGAACACATGCTGCTTCATCAAGCAGACCAGACTGATCCACCACCTGGACTGACTGACACACACACACACAACACAAAAAGACACACACACACACACACACACACACACACACACACACACACACACACACACACACACACACACACACACACACACAAAAAACAGTTATTGCCGTGACTGGGCCAAAAATCATCACCAGAAAATGTCTCATGGGCATAATCATAAAGAAACCTGACTTCACGTTTATAATATGACACCAGATAATTCTTAATATTGGAACGTGTAGAAAAATCTTGTGTTTCCCACATTCACACGTAAGTTAAAGTACATGTTACATCATTAGATTTGATGCATATGAGACACATAAAAAATGAAATACTAAAATAACTTTTTAGTTAAGCAAAGAAATGATAACGTACAAGTACTTCAAAATAAAGCCTCACGTCATGCTTGCTTATTTTAATCATGACAACAGCTACAGCAACCACTGCCATTTATACATTTTGACTTTGTTATAAGTTTTATTTTATATACAAGGTATAATATAAAAAATAGAAATACAATCATGTCAGTTTATTTTATCTCCAATTAGCAAACCTAATTTTTAATATTCTTCCTTTACATGGACAGTGTTGCTGCCTAAGATGTTTTGGGGTTTAGATACGAAAATATGGAAAAAGATTATTCAAACTAAACAGCTTTTCACCTCATGGTTTTGAATACATTTCAAATACACACAGAAATGTGCATATCACACCAATGATCTACCTGCCCATTCCTGTGTATCCACCCTCTTATTGTGGAAAGCAGTAACAGGGTGGACGTTTTATGCTTAAATCAACCATTATTCCTCATGTGATGCACAACAGGCTAGCAAATGAAGACCATAAACATTATTTTTAACATGTTTATGAACCATGTGATCGGAATTACAAAAGAATATCTGTTTACACTGTAAATAAGGGTAACAGGGTGAACAGGTTATGCTTTAACGCATCTGTGAACCATTCTGAAACATGGGGAAAAAACAGTTGATGAAAGATTGATGTTTACTCTGGCTTTTATAGAGGATTTCCCTCCAAAACACTAATACAACTTACTGTAAGTCATGTAACTAGCGGACCAATAGAGGGGAGCTATCCAAAAAGACTCTGGTAAGAGTAACAGGACGGACGGACAAATGTGGGACAATTTATTTTATTTCAGACTTTAAACGTAAAAAAAAAAAATATATATATATATATATAAAAATGTATTAATAGGGGGAAAACATCTAATGTAGAATATTACTATTAAGGCTGTACAACAGTAATGAACAAGTTTGTGTTTTTTAATGACTTATATTAGCAAATGAACTTGAACTTGAATGAACGGGGGTGTTTTAGGGTATTTGTGCTTAAAAAAATAAAATAATTTTAAAAATAAATATTTTCTAAACATATAACTGTTTTCTAATAGTTAATAGTGTAAGGCAAGCTTTTGAAATAAGTATTTACCCATTTTTATACAAAACACACTCAGATCTGTGATCGGGATTGAAAGGCATTAAATACTAGGAATGATTCACATTCCCAAAGTGTTGGTATTGGGAATTAGATGTCACTTTTTTCTCCAAACTTTACACTTTTAAAGCATAATAAAGATGACAGACTTCATATATGTTTTAGAGGCTTTAAAGACCTGCCACAGGATTGACTTTGTCAAAAAGAGAATCGAGAAATATTCTCAGATGGCTGCATCTGATCCATGTTTCAACCTGTCCAAATGTCCAAGAATAGATTAGAATAGAAAAGCACTTTACTGTCACTGTACATGTACAATGAAATTGTAGAAAAAAAGACCGGTGCAGGACACTGAACCCTCCAACCCAGTAGGTTATGCAAAGTGCTGGTGTACCTACTTTGTGTGTGTGTCTGTGTGAGTGAATGAGTTAAAGAAAGTCACATTTAAAAAACAGCTGTTAACATAAAATAGTTTCTATGGACCACCACCTTCTTTCAGACCAATCGTTTGCACTCGCAGTTATGTATCTGAGATGATCCAGTGTGTCAAAATGTTCACCCTTCAGCTTGAATGGGTGGTGGGCTAAGACTGTGCTGGTGTAGCCAGTAATTCCTGGACCCTTCCACCTATCCCTGAGACCTAATTATCATTACTGCAATGACCTTGGACATGGACGTTGGGCCAGTTTGACACAGGAGCTTGCACGAGTTTGACTGGTCAACCTTCTGAAAACTAGCAGAGGGTGTGGAAGTAGTCTATAGGTGTCCCAAGGACACAACCTTGAGGGGAGAACTAGCGGGGTTTTAATTATGTATGTTTCCTGATTTAAATGGATTTAATTTGCAGAACATTCAGATCAAAAACTTGCATACTGCATGAAAGGAGGGCCGAAATGATTAACATCTTTCTCTATAAAATGGACCCTTTGAAGCATTTCTTTGTCAGTAGCTTGTATCTAAGGTCCAGCATTTCAAGCATTATGCATACTGAGCTTTGCATTTAATAAGAACTGGATGGAACAATAATCTGAAAATGACAGAAGAGAAACAGTTTTCCTCACCGCCTGTAAAACCTCTGCTGAGCCACTTGGTGGTAGCTGGCAGAAAACGGCAACATTAACCAAAAGGCTGACAGTCAATGATGGAGCAAATGATTGCTGCTCAGGTTGTGGTGAAACCAGCGTGCCCAGTGACTGCAGGCGGTCGCTGGGAAGAGGATGAGCTGCGCCTGAGAAAAGAGTGCGTATGTGGTTCCAAGCTTCTTTGGCCCGTGCCTGGTGGGAAAGATGTTTAAAAAGAAAGAAAGACAGAAAGAAAGAAAGAAAGAAAGAGAGCATGCTCAATTTCAACCAAGTCAGATTTAACGGGTCTTCTGGTGTCTTTCATGTAAAAAAATAAATGACAAACAGACTGCTAATTCAAAAATGAGACAACAAGAAAGCCTAGCAGAGAAGAACGTACAACTGTAGTAGAAGAGATGGTGGAGTCTCCAAGGGTTATGATGGGAGGCGGACAAGCAACAGACAGAGGTAAAACTCAGGCAAAGCTGGCCCAGACACTCACTGAGAAATCAATACTACATCACCCTTTCCACCCAGCCCTCTCATCTATATCTCTCTCTCCCTCTCTTCACCACTGTCTCACTCCCTCCCTCTCAGTTAGGGGTCATCCATAATTAATTCATTAATGTGTTATTCCGTTTTTTGCCCCTCTGTATTGTTTCTTTTGCTTTCAACAACAACAGACCTGCAAATAACAGACTATCCCCGATGTTATGTTGCCGAGTTATGCTGAAGCACTTAGCTGCCGCAGTGTTGGTAAAAGAAGAGAAATAGTTGGAACAAACTGGTTTTCAAACAAAGTCTATTTAAGAAGATCCCCGGTTGCCTTCTTAGTTTATAATGACGGGGCAGAAATATCTGCATCGATCAGTTCAACACTTACTAAGCAATTATTTAAGTGGAAAAATTTGGATTTCATATAACTAGATTAAAATGATTTATGCAAAAAACAAACAAACTCACCAGCTGTGAAGCTCTGTGGTGCCACCTCTTGGTGGGGTAGTGGTAGAATATCAACAGCCACAGGAAGGGATCACCATCTTCAGTCCCAGATGTGACCAGCAGCTGGACAGCCACCTGTACCCAGTGGGCACACTGAACCAGCAGGAACCAGGCCTCAAACACGTTGTGGTGCCCCCTGCAGGACATTAGGAGAAGCAGCATTTAACAGCAGAAGTAGAACCCTTCCTGAACAGTGGGTATTCATTGGGATGTGATGGATGTGATTTGTTACCGAAAAGACACTGTACCACATGAGAGAACATATATTATATGAACACATACCTCACAGGGTACAATTTCTTTTTTTTTAAAATGAATAATTCAATAGCAAACACCATCAGTTACATTAAACCAACAGTTTGTAGGATTTAGGGGGAATTGTAGCTTAGAAGAAGTATAGGATTCACGATTATGTTTAAATTAGTGTATAATCACCTGTAAGTAGAAGGTTTTTTTTGTTTTGTAAGCCAAAAAAAATACTCTTCCATCAAGTAGGCCATGTTGGCTTTATCTTCTTATGGCAGCATTTAGTACTTACTACATGATAGCTAAACCACATGCCTGACAGCTGAGAAAAAAAATGAAGGCTACAGAACGTGGCTGAGAACCAAGTAAGTAGAGTTTGTGAGGTGTTTGTCACAAGTTTTTAACAGGGGATACAAACAAGGCATTACATTGGAACAACCTATGTGCTATAAACAGGTTTTAATATCGATAAATTAAGGTAATTTGGGTGGTCTGGTTCAGTTTGTTAATAGCTTGGCACTTAATCTACAACTTAGTCTCAGTTTTTCCGAGGTATTTGTGTGAATATGTACAACTTTCCCCTCTACAAAGCCTTCCCCAAAGTCCTGGTGGAAAATACAACTGCTGACTGTCAGCCTAACAATTTATACCCAGGTTGCTTTCCAAGCATTGAAAAAAAAGTGGCCATAAAGAAGAGAAGATGGTTTGTTTGTTGTTGTTGTTTTAAATACATGCTGTCAAACTGAGATGGCAACTGAGCAAAATTATACTAAAACAATCTGGTGTTCAGTGTAGAGCAAAAAAAAAACTCTGATAGCAGGCTGTCAACTGACTCATTAGGACTTTATGAATGAACCACAACTGAGTCCCTGCCATGGAAATTAGCACACCCCCATTGACAGGATCAATGGAAGATCAAAGCGACTTAAATGCAGATGATGCAGATCTAAGTCATTGTCTGATCTATTGATGAGCATCATAAACAACACCTCAAACTACTACATTTGTACAAAACTAGAAAACCTTCATTCAGCCATCACGATTCGTGATGGGCTCTGTGTAATTAGCAACAAGGTCTGATGTCCTTTGATGTCCAAACCAATCAGCTGATGGTTATGATCTTGAAAGGTATCAATATTCTCTGTATTTTCTCATCATTCGTAGACAAGTTCATATTGTAGGCAAGCTGCTTCTCGTTAGATTAATGTTTTATAAAAAATGAGAACCGTAAATCTAAAAGTAAAAAGAGAAAGAAGAAATATTGGCAAAGAAATTGAGATTTGGGCAGACAAAGTGGTACAACAGAGCGAACAGAGCTTCACAGCTGCAACAGCAAGAATGACTTCAAGTCAGAAGAGCGATAAGGATCTCATTCTCAGATTTCCCTAATACCATCATTAGAGCTCTCCTCCTCATCTTCCCTCTCTCCACTTGGCTTCCAAATAGGAACAGCAGCAGCCCTCTGCAGGGCCTTGGCAGCTGCAACTTTGCTTGGAGCAACACAACACACTACTTTCCCACCGCTGGCTCCGAACAATGTTTTGGGAATTTTGCACTCAACTCCAGAATGAGGCGACAGTGGGGATAATGGGCCCTGTTAAAAACCGCAGCTGAAGGGCATCAAGTCATCCGTCTCCATCTCCACGACATCACCTAGTTGATGTTCTTTTAATCAGAAACCCCTATTCTCTTTTTTCATGAATCCCAGACTAAATAGTCTACTTTTCTCTGTTTCGTTATATCTTTTTTCTACTCTAGCCACTTCTTCTCCACTCATTTTCCCACTCACTTGTATTCTCCACAGTTCTCTCTTTCCTAAGCTAATAGCCTCTAATGAATGCTTGGAGAAGCTACGCACTCCTCCAGGACCTCTGTACTGTGAGGCAAGGGAAAAATATCTGACTAACCACCCCCTCAACAAGAGCTAATGGAAATAAGAACACCGCACAGGCATTCAGTAGGGTGGTGGAAGCAGGCACACATTAACACATTCTCTCCGCGAGCCATTCTCACTCTAACCTGGTGCTTCTGCCGTCTCCCTCCTCTTCCTCCTCTGTCAGTCTCTGTAATGAGCTGCTCAGCCAGTTCAGGTGATTTCTCCAAGCCCCCTGAGGCATCTCTGCAAGAACAGATTCAGATTTAATGACATAATGATGGCTTGTTGCACAAATAATCGCTTCTTACAATCCACTGATCCAAAGCTAACTATTAAGTCAATCTTGAACTAACCATTCAAGAATAATGAAAAATAAGTTTATTATTATTATTAGAAAAGTTATATTACTGAAATATGTGTGTGGTAAATGTAGCACTACAATAACCCAAGAATCAAAATGTGACTCCAACATTTAATTCCCCATAACACCGCAAACTGCTGCAACCAGCAATTATATTAATTATTGATTCATCTGCCAGCTATTTTCTACATTAACAGGAAAATTATTTGGTCTATTGAAAGTCAAAATACAGCAAAAATGGCACAGCAGTTTCACTGAATCCAAAAAGAGATCTTCATAGATAAATTTATTCCCTTAGTTTGAAATAGACTGATTAAGAGGACCAAAACCAATAAATATTTGTATACCTTTGACAGCCTCGTTTTAGATTTGTTAAATCTTTAAATCTTCTTATCATATTACCAGAAAAAAAGCACGTTCACATATATTAAAATAGATAATATAATTATATTTAGCTAAGATAATAGTTAAGCTTTTTATTAGTAAAATACATAAACAATCCTCCAAATATCTTGCACATTTACACTCACTGGACACTCTGTTAGGTACACCTTGCTAGTGTTGAGCTGAGAACTGCCTTCATTCTCTGTGTTACAGATACAGCAAGGTGCTGCAAACATCGCTCAGAAATTTTGGTCCATATTGACATGATCGCATCACACAATAGCTGCAGATTTTTCGCTTCAAATCACAGATGGTTCTCTCCCTTTCTACCACATCCCACAGGTGTCACGGTTCGGATGTGTGGTAGACAGGGAGTGGACCCAGATGCAAGACTCCAGAGACCAAAAGTAATCTCACAAAGGGAGCTTTATTGCTGAGCTCTTTACAGAAACACAAAGAATCACAGGCCTGAGGTAAGGAAAGGAGCAGGAAGGTAACTAATAAATCTAAAGTCATCAATAACTAAAGTAGAGACACAGATAATACAAGAGGTATCCAACACAAGGATCAGAAAACAAAACTACTGAAATTACAAAAGTAAAAACTCAAGCTCACAACTCATGGAAACTGACAAAAGGTGCTCTACTGAATTGAGATTTGGTGACTGTGGAAGAGTACAGTGCACTCACAGTCATGTTTAAAAACAAAACAAAACAACAGTTCACATTACCCTACATTACCCTGTTGGAAGCAGTCATCAGAAGATATCAAGACTCATTAGAGCAGGCAACATTTTTACAGACTTCTGTTATCTAATTTTGGTGAGCCTGTGTGAACTGTACCCTCAGTTTCCTTTTCTTAGCTGACAGGAATAGGAGCCAGTGTGGTCCTCTGTTGCTGTAGCTCATCTGCTTAAAGGTTTTGTGTGTTCACAGATACTTTGGTTGTAAGGAGTGGTTATTTCAGTTACTGTTACTTTCCTATCTGCTCAAAGCAGTCTGGCAATTATCCTCTGACTCCTGGCATCAACAGGCGTTTTCACCCAGAGAGTTGCTGCTCACTTGGTATTTTCTCTTTTTTGGACCAATCTCTGTAAACTCCGGAGATGGTTGTGTGGGAAAATCTCATTGGAACATTTTCTGAAATCCATATGACATCCAGAGTCCCTTAAATCAGCGGTCCCCAACCCCCGGACCAGTACCGGTCCGTGAGTCGTTTGGTACCGGGCCACGAGAGTTGAGGCTCGGGTGTGAAATTTATGGTTTTCAGGGTTTTTAATCGTTTTTTATTGTTATTTTTATCCTTAACTCTGTTTCCCTGAGTCTTTTCCCGTGTGTTATCAATAAATCTTCTTTTTTTTGGTACCGGTACTGGTTTTATTTTGTTGTATTTATCTGTGACACCTTAAAGGCCGGTCCATGAAAATATTGTCAGACATAAAACGGTCCATGGTGCAAAAAAGGTTGGGGACCGCTGCCCTAAATCACTTTTCTTCCCCATTCCGACGCTTGGTTTGAACTTCAACAGGTTGTTTTGACCATTTCTAACTGCATACCAATACCAAACAGCTGAACAGGTGTACCTGAAAAGTGGCCAATGAGTGTAATTTCAAAGCAGAAATGGCCCAACTGTGATTACTTTCTTGTGCTTTTCAGGATTAATTTTAACTGCTGTTAAAATAGTTTTTTCACATTGCATTGTAAAAAATAGATTTCCCACCGCAAACCAAATTTTTTCACAGAAACGCAGTCCAAATGACACCTGAGGTTGACAAACAAACTTGAATAAATATTTCAAATACTTGTCAGCGTGATCCAAGTTTTTTCCCAAGGCTGTGTTTTAACAATGCAATGCTAAAATGTAATCCGTGGCTTTTTCAGAGAGGGCACAAATCATAATAAATCCTCAAATCTTCTACTTTTCTCAGTACCATTTCTATTCAGTCCCTGGTGAAAAATTGCCCTTCACACACACACACAACTAACACACACACACACACACACACACACACACACACACACACACACACACACACACACACACACACACACACAGTAATAATTAACTCTGAGTTCTGGCTGGGCTCCAGCGTGTCCCTAAATGGCTCCATTCATGTAAATCATTCCTGCCTACAGGCCAGTCTGGGCACACACTGATAAGCTTACTGCTCCGTTTTGCTCCTGCACTCACCTACTGTGCATCTCTTTAATTGTAAAGATTCCCAAACACAAAAACTGTTAGCACAGTGATACACATCCAGCATAGATAATACTGATCCTTTTTGATAAGACAAATAAAAATGCTTTGTGTGTTTATGTATGATGACCCATATTTTCATTTGTTCATTTTTATAAAAAACTAAGAAAAACAGCTATCCCAATAACACAGGCACTGACACCTAAGCCTCAGTTTCTTTTCAAATCACCATTTTTCATGTCTGACATAAAAGGCTTCATAGTTATAAACTAACTACTATTGATTAGCAAGAACAAGACGCACAAAGGACCGTTCATTCTGCTGCAGGAAAACTGTTTACACAGTGATAAAGCATAACTAATCATGGTCTTCTTCACAGTGATGGGTTTTGTGCATAGTGTCAGAGTGAAACATCCAAAAGCAGACGATGACGCACACAACATGCGTGTCTGCACACTGACCTGATGGCATCGTCAAGAGGGGAACCAGCAGACTTGAAGGCGACTGTGGGAAGAAGGCTTTCACAGATATGCTTGTCTGAAACAACACAAAGCACATTTTTACCTCAGCTTCATCAATGTAAATCACACTTTCCTTCAACTCATGCATCAGTGTGCTCTGAAAGCCTGAAAAATGGCATTTTGAATGGGAGGCTGTGTAACAGTGATACAGTTGGTGCTAATGTGTAATGTAGCGTGTAATAGGTAGCGTTTTGTGCAGGGTGACTACAGCCATTAAAATCGAGGCCACTGTAAATGCACTATGGCACTGCCATCTAGTGGTTAATAGAGGTGAAAAGAAAGGAAACGCTCTACTCACAAAGCTGCATAGCAGATAATACATCATCCCTACATAGTAACACATCTGTTTTCTGCAATGGCTGACATGTAAGTGCCAGATTATTTCTTACAGTCCCACAAACTGTTTGGATGAATGCTCCCCAAACAGTGACAGAGAACATGTGTCAGCTGAGGGCTGAGAGTTTTAGCAAAAGTTGGAAAGTACACAGTGACACAGAAGTGTAAGAGCTCACAGTGGTTTCCACATTTATCTGTACAGAGTTATTACCTGCAAACTGATGATGTGAATTCATTGTCTATGATGCAGGGGTGTGAAATGTGCTGTGTTAGGTGTGAGCAGCAGGTTCCCAGCTGGAGTTCAAGTGATAATAAAGTGGAGGATTCATCAAGTAAGTGATTTTTCCTGCAGCTCTAGAGGTAATTGCTTGTCGACTGCTGTGTTTGTGTATAACCCTCAGGTTTAAAAGTACCCTTTCTTTAGTTTCCACGCTAGATAAGAATCACTGGAGAAAATCTGCTCGACACCTACAATCCTGTGAAAGAGAAAGTTTTCACAGGACTCCATACGGCCTGCTGAAAAACTGTGATTCAGTAGCTTGTAGAATCACCTTTAGCAGCAATAAGCTGAAGTGATCATTTTCTGTATGACTTTAACAGGCTCTCACATTGTCATGGAGAAATTTAGTTCTTTTTATGACAATGCTTTAACTGAGTGAAGTTTGTGGCAAATAATTTATGCAAAACTCTCTTAAGGTCCTGTCACAGTTTGACTGGACTTTGAGCAGCACCTGGACTCTCTTCTTTTCCCTTCCATTGCAGATTTTCCGCTGTGACTGAGATCCCTGTCCTGTTGCAAGCCCACACCTCTCCATCACCGTACTTGGTATGAGGTTTTGTGCTGATCTGCTGTGTTTTTGTTTTTTTTTGTGCATTATGGCCAAATATCTCGATGTTGGTCTCAAATGTCCAAAGGACATTGTTGCAGTGTTGCAAGTGTTGTGGTTTGTTCAGATGCAACTTTGCGAATCCAAGCCTTTGTCAAAATGTTTTCAGAAACTAGAGATGAATAGACTGAAATAATCTATTAGTCAAATGACTGTTTGCAGTGCTGCAAGAAACAAACATGTATGCATTTATTGTAGCTGACCTGAGGCTTCAGCAGTGCCAGTTCCCTCAGGAAACACTTGGTAAAGGTTTGGACCAGAGTCTTAACAGACTCATTTCCTTCAGCTTGCTTAAGGATGGACCTGCAAAGTACACGTTCAGTAACAGCATATCACTGTAATATTCAGTAAGCACCAGAAATATATACTGACTTTCTACACAAACATACATATTTCAGCCAGAACTCACCTAAAGATGTCATTTACAACCAAGAATATTGAGCAGTGCTGAGCACAAGCTTTAGGCTGAAACACAGAAACACACAAAAATTTAAATACTTCACAAATGCTAAAAAAATAAATAAATAAATAAAAAAATAAAAAACCCTACCAATCCAATCCATACAGAAATTACTGACAATAAATACCTGCTCCCATTAAACCACTTTGAATGTTTGTCCAGAATACTGACCAGAAGGTGTCACTGTTGAATCACCCAGAAACATTCTGCTTTTAAGCCTCAGTTATCCTTGTTCTCACTCTCTCCTCATTAAACACTCAGTTTACCACTCTGTCAGCCCTTCCTTCACGTACACACAAACACCCCCACACACAATTACTTTCTCATCTCCTCCTTAAATGCACTCATCATGTGTTTTGGATTTAACACATTCTTAAACGCCCCAGCACAAAAATTTAACAGCTGCACTGTTCATATTTTCTAGTCCCTAATTATCCTCCTCCAACCCAACACCCATCTTATATAAGGACAAGCACTTCACTATGGGGGAGAAATGGCTTTATTCCTGCAAAATAATGTGCTAGTGGAATGATACAGAAGGGATGCAGATAGGAGTAAGCCTTTTAACTTATTTAATTTACACACAGCCAATTTAGAGCTACCACTTGTGTCAGTATTTTAAAAAAATGTAGCTCACCGTTCACTGTTTGAATTAAAACACTAATAGGTTAGAACTTGATTATATAAATAGGGCGCTAAATTGCATTTCCACCAGTTTAGGCAGACTTTTAACCACACAAAGCGCCAAATTATGAGACCAATTACATTCACAGAAATAAACAGCACCGCCAAGTGTTTATGTGGTGTAATTACAACATCTTGTAACAAAGTGATTTTATTCTTAGTTTTATAACATGTGTATTTCTTTTCTCTCCTCTCAGTTCAGAAGACACCATTAACCAGCCTGTTTGAACGGGTATGGAATTCCATAGAGTTTATGTATAACAGTGTACATCTCCATATTATGTGGGTTGCATGCCAACATGCATGCATGCATGTGAACTGTCATGGTTTCCGCCTTAGTAAAAACAGATGGGACTTTTTTAGCGTCTTCCTCCATACCTTACCACTAACACTTCAAGGAGGGTCAATTACAGCACACAACAAACATTCTGTTTTTGGCAGTCAGACCCAGGAAGTGAGTGTTTATTGTTATTGGGCCTGCGCTTCTCACTGGATCACAGGGGGGTGGGACAAGCCGAAATGAGGAATGTAAGAGTAATTCCATGGTTCCCATTTTTGAATGTAGTCTAAACAAGTGAGCAAAAGAGTTGAGGAGAGACGCAATCCAGTGTGCTTTTATGTCTCACGTTATTTGTATCCCGACAGAATATTACACATTGTATACTCAACATGCACGAAACACGAATCTGAATGTATATATTTGTGTGTAAGGTGATGAAAATCAGAGATCGTACAGCTCTACCAAAAGTGGAGGCACACCTTGTAAAGTACAACCCCTTTAGCAAACAGACATTAACATATACATGAATAATCTGTCCAGGGGTTCCCAAACATACAAACATGCCATTGTAAATCCGGAGCAGAGAAATAAACAGGCAAAAATTACATCCCTTATATACAAAGTTAGTTCAACTGTTTATAAAACTTTCCATCAAAGCAGTCCCTGCAAACTAAAGAGGAAGAAGCAGGAATCTAACCCAGAAGTTAGCAGACACGCACATTTTTGTGCATGCAGTGTCAGTGCATGCAAACAAGCATGTCCCTATCTAAAACTGAGAACGTGTGCTTTGCTACCTTGTTATATACACAGCTCAAGTAGACCATCACTCTGTGAAAACAAGAGTGACACAACTGACAAACTTTATCCAAGTTAACTGGAGCAAGATGACAGGTCAAATTTTGTTTCCGTCTTGAGTTTCACTGACATTTATAACTTCCACTCGGAGTGCAATCAAAGGGCTAGGTAAATAGGATGCCATTCATAACGCGCACACAAGTATTTTATTGTTGTGTACAGATGTTTGGCACAAACAATGTGTAAAAAATGTCTGCTTTAGACACACATCCAGATTCGGGTTGGCACTGTTGTATCTAATTTCAGTGTTTTTCCACAGCTTTCTTGAATTGTCTTGTTTCAGTGACACACTTAATTATTATTGTTGTCCTTACATCTCACTGAGGCTTCACTAATTTGGCAAACAAGTTTTAAATGTGGGATAAAAAAAGCAGCCTCTGTTGCCCCTCCTCCCAAAAAAAAAGAACACCACTCACTGCTTTTACTTTGTGAGCACTTTGCAGCAACGAGGACGTCATTTTCATCAACCAGTCATAACAATTTATAAATCAAAATCACCTCTGACTGGACATGATCTTAAGTTATATGAACTTAGGAGTGGCCAAGAACTCGAGCGACAGAGAGCTCCGTACTTACCCGGCACAGTAAAGGCTGTGTAGCACAGGCCAAATGATGTGAGATGGGGTTAAGAGCTTGCCAAATTATGTGAGACCCATGCAGCGCAAAGCCAACTGGTGTTAGCCGGGCAAGAACAGTCCATAAAGAGTCACCAAAAAAAGCAAAGGAATGTTTCCCAGAATTATGCATATTATAATCAGCAAAATTTTGCAGCAAGGCCTATATTAGAAGCAGCTAAAACTGCAGCTTAACACATAAGGAGTGTGCAATGATTTCTCATGCGAGCCCCTGTAATTCAGGGCAGATGAGTCAAAGTTTGTGCATAACAAACTAATTTAACAGCAGCAGTATATCACCAATATATGAATAAATGAGGCCAATTCATGCAGCAGTAAAACTGCAGAAAATCTCACAGTACAACAGGACAACATTCTCTCCAACTCTGTCAACATAAAAGAACAATATCCTTAGATACTCGTATTTCATCATAAGTTCGGCTCTTCAGATACAGCACGTATACTTTTTAAAACTTTTTGGCACTTCTGTGACTGTCATGAACTACAATAGTATTGCCAAATTGTTGCTATAAAATGTAAATGATGGGGGAAAAAAGATGAGACTTGATCTATAGCCCAGCAGACTAGTCAACAATCGTGTCAGGTACGATTTAGATGTAACTGTTTCAAATGTATTTTAAATCAGCTCCTAATTTTCAAATGTTCAAAGTTTACAATATAACTGACTGTCTGGGTTTCAAACTCGGGCTTTGATAGAGAATCATGGGTATTTTTTGATGACGTTTTGTACACTGCAGAGTTAAGGTAGAAAATAACTAGAAAACAAACGTTTACCCACCAGCAGTGACTGTGCTACTTGTTGCTCTAGCTTCTGTGGTGTTAACCCTGTAGTTATAACAGACTGCAACAGACTGAGGACTGCTTCTTCCAGGCTGTAAAAGCTGTGATACCACAGAGATACCAAGGCCTGCTCCTCCAATGCCAAACCCTGCCTGGGAAAAGAAGAATAACTTACATCACTGGATGTATATTCCCAGCTGTGAATATTGTGTATATTGTAGATGCATGTATATCACAATCAGATAAAATTCCAGGTTACATTTGGGAAAATCCTTTCTACATCTCAACTATATGAGCCAAGAAATCGCCCTTTGTTTGCTTATGTAATGCTCCAATCTATAAAATACAACAATTAAAATGCTCAATATAGTACAGTAAATACAATGTGATAATGGTCATAAAATATTCAGCTTCAAACCCTTAATACTTTACTACCTTGAGTAAGCAGAGGTCAAAGCATTCAGAAAGTCTTCACTGAGAGCTTCTGTGACACAAGCCACCGGCCGCTGTAGCAATAGACTAATGAGAGAAGATGCCTCGGGACAAGTGACAATGGGGATGCATGCCTTTGATATATCCACAATCCTGTCACATGAACACCTACATGGAAGATAAGATAGATCTTTATTGTCACTGTTACCAGAACAATGAAACACAGTACTTTACCTCAAGTTAAACATAAACAACTCTGCTATTATCATAGAAAAGACAGAAATCCATCCAGGCTCAAGTTTTATTTTCAGTCCTCCTTTCCACACATCCTATTATTTAAAAATTCACAGTGTGTTGGATTCAAATGTGATTTTAAGTGCACACATAATTATACTAACCATTCTACAAGCTAATAATAACGACTTTGACAAAAGCTACTGTATCTATTAGTGTCCTCTAGAGTGGCAGCAGTCAGTCAAAGAGTTAGCTAATATGATGTTAAATGACTGATTACATCACCATCCCTGGATCTAAACTGTGAGGATTTGTTATTTTCTCTGCTGTATATAAATGCTAATAAATACTTTTATTAGCCTTTATTAAAGATAGTTTCAAGAAGGTTTTATATAAACTATGATGATTAATTTTTTCACCATTTTACAATATTTTCGTTAAGAAACAAAACAACCCACTGATGAAATATGAATGGCACTTATCCAGCTGGTCTACATATTTTATTTATTTATTTTTCACATTTACCTCTGACTGTTAAATAATGTGCAGCTTTGTCCAACGTTTTCCTGCAGCAGCGCCACCTTCTGAAAAGCCGGTCAAAGCACAGTTTACATATAAAGCATGTTAAATTCAATATCTTTGTATGTAATGAATGATACCAACGGAAACAAAGCAATAATACCTTTCTCAGGACTTTAAGGTGGTACTCTTTAGCTGGTACACCCGTACACTTCATTAACGCTTGTGCTGCAGTTTCATCTTCTTCTGTGGAAAGCTGACACAATACTTTCTGTGGAAGGCCAGAAAACACAATGTGAAGAAAAATATATGTACTGTATGCATACAGCCATGTGGAAAAGAAACACCCTTATGGCTTCTATAGGAATTAAGAACGCAAGTAGCAATCAGGTGCTGCTAATAAAAGTTTGGTTTGGTGGTCTGCACCATTCAAATGTGTGTTTACAGAATCTTCTCGGGAACGGACATCCTTGCCAACCCACTGCTCAATACTCTGGAAAGTTCCCAAAAAGTGTAAGAGCTTGAGCTCAGGCTCTACTAGCCTTAGTTAGAATGTAAATGTTAAAGCTTATGAAAGGACAATCACAAAAAGCCTGAACAAGCATGGCTGGTTTAGAACTGTTACCAGAAGAAAGCCTTACGCCTCTAAAAAGATGGCACCATTTAGGTTTGCAAAATTTCATCTGAACAAACCACAAGCCATCTGGAACAATGTCCTTTGTATATGAGACAAAAAATAAAGATGTTAACAAAAAACATCACATTTCAGCCTAAATCTGTTATATTAACTGTGAAATACAGTGATGGACAGGTGGTGATCTGGGCTTGTTTTGCAGCCACAGAACCTGGGCACCTTGCATCATGATCGGAAGGTCGGGGGTTCGATTCCCCTGAACAGCTACCCTGAGATACCCCTGAGCAAGGTACCGTCCCTACACACTGCTCCCCGGGCGCCCAATGGCTGCCCACTGCTTCACTGAGTGAATGGGTTAAATGCAGAGAGGGATTTTCCCCACGGGGACCAATAAAGTACACTTTCTTCTACTTTCTTCTTCATCAAGTCAACCATGAATTCCCCCTGTATACCAAAGTATTCAAGAATCACAGGCAGTCTGTACAACAGCTAAAGCTTGGCCCAAACTGGGTAATGGAACAAGATGGAACAAGATGATGAGACAAAACACTTGAAACAAATGGACAACAGAATGACTGAAAAAGAAAAGAATCAAGGTTTTGCAGTGGCCCAGTCAAAGCCCAGACCTCAATCCAATTGAAATGCAATGGTGGGATCTTATGAGAGCCGTGCATACACAAATGCCCACAAACCTCAATGAATTAAAGAAATGCTGTAAAGAAGAGTGGGTCAAAATTCTTCCACAATGATGTGAGAGACTGATAAAGTCCCAGAGAAATGATTACTTCAAGATTTTGCTGGTAAAGCTTGTTCTGCAAGCTCATGAATCAAAGGGTGTACTTAGTTTTTCACAGGACTGCAGAGTCCAGTGATTTTTTTTTCTTTTGACTGTACGTGCATCACAATATAACAAGACTTTGATACAATTTTCCAAACCCTAAGATCCATAACATCAAAGCTAATTAGTTACTGGAATATAGGATGACTCTACTGGCATCACATCATTTGAAACACATGAGTGAAGAAAAGGTATTCCAGTAAGTGAGACTGTATGGACAGCATATGAGCAACTTCAGAGATGAACATTCCTTCTTACAGAGGGCCTTGGTGTTTTACGAGAATTTTTTAAAAGGGGCCTCATCATACACTGATAAACTAGACTAATAAACTCAGCTGATTCTGGTCTTCAAAAAAATGCTGGTCGTAATCAAGGAACAACAGGAGGGAACACAATGCTCATAGTGTAAGGCACAATGCTACATGAGTAACTCTCAAACCGCTTTCAATAAAACAGCAAAACTGCCAAGATGTACGATTTCTCAAAATATTTAATAAATATGCCACAGCAGAAGAAGCGTTGAGACATATTGCCTTGTTTTTACTTTCAGTGTTGACATTTAAAAACCAAAAGTGATGCCACACAGCATTCAGTGGTCTCGTGAATGATACGCTGAATTTTTGACAAAAATATTCTTCAGAATTCCTTCAGAAGTGCTTGAAAACCCAAAGATCCATAACATGAAATTAGAGATTGATTTAAACTTTAGAAATCCCCTCAACTCAACCACAGATTTGACATACTGTTGCAAGCCGGAAAGTGAGATCCAACAGAAACAGCCAAAGCCTCACATCTTCACTAGACATAGAGCTGCAGTAAAAACAGAGAAACATCTATACCACAAAGAACCAATCCCCTAAAACTACAAACAGTGTGCGCTTAACAATAGATAAGGAGAAAAGGAGACTTTGGAGCACAATTTATAAAGAAAAGAACTCAAGTGAAGCAGAAAAACAGAAACCAATGTAGGGATGCTGCAGCGTTGTTGGTGAGGATGTGTGGTTTCTTTGGCAAAGCCCTACAACACGCTAAGATGCTTACCCTCCACATAGTCGCAAAAAACAACCCAATAACTACCATCTGAGAGCCCTCAAACTCTGCACATTGAGTGCATAAAAAAAACCGATCAATCTTATCCCACCCTTGGTAAGGAGGCACAGTGAGGCTGGGGAATGAGAGGGAAGGGAGGCTGGTTAGAAGAAATATCAGAGGGACACTGGAATGCACTGCGATGGCTGCAGTTTAAAAGTCATAAGCAACTAAGTTGGCTTTGGGGACATTGACTGCCATTGCTGCCATAGAAATTATCCCTCCATAAATCTAAAATTAAAACAGAGGATGTAGAAAAATGCACAACGCAAAGGCTTGGGTTGTTTTTGATGGGTGTCTGTTAACAATTACTAAGCCATGACTGAATTCTCCCAAAACCAAAGAAAGACTGAAGTATAACCTCAGATGGTCAAAACAGCAAAGACAAAAAAAGAAGGCGAAATGAAGGATAAGAGTGCAAAAAAGGCTCATTATAGAAAATAATAAAGAGAGAAGCAACTGCCCTCAAACCTGGCACAAAGACAGCTACAGGAAAGAAGCAAGAGCAATTTAAGTTTTCCACCAAAATGGCCAAATGTGTCACTTTTGACCCCATAAACCTTGTGTATATGGACATTTTAAGACATTGATTTTTGAAAGAAAATCATTTGTGTCATGTAGCCAACTCGAAAATAAAAGTTTTACAAGAAACACCCCTTTTAAATTCAGCAACTTTTATGATATAGTTTTAGCTTTTTGATTCTTTTCAATGCACTGCTTCTTTTTTAGACTGAGCTTCCCTTTTGTTGACACATTGGTCATGATTTATGCTATAATAGGAAAAGAAAAACAAAATCGTTAGCAAGTAGACAAAATAACATTAATTATATTGCTTTATTCTAAATTTTAACTTTTGACTTTAAGGGAAAAGTATGACAAAGTGCTTTTGGTAATTAATTGTAATTATAAATCCACCCACCCTTCCGCTTCATCCCAAATGTGCTTTATTGGACTGAGTTTGGGAGAATTTCTAAACAAAAATTGAGACTCATCAGACCAGGCAATGTTTTTCCAATCTTCTGCTGTTCAGTTTTGATAAGCCAGTGTGAACTGCAGCCTGTGTTTCCTTCTCTGAGCTAAAAGGAGTGGCACCCGGTGCGGTCTTCTGCTGCTGTAGCTAATCTGCTTCAAGGTTTGATGTGCTGTGCGTTTAGAGATGCTCTTCTGCCCACATTGGTTATAAGAAATGTTGAGTGGTGAGTTGCTGTTGCCTTCCTACTGGATTGAACCAGTCTCGTTATTTTCCTCTGACATCAACAAGATACTTGTCCCTAGTTTTTTTTTTTTAAATAAACATTTTCTCTAAACCCTACAGATGGTTGTGCAGGGAAGTCCCAGATGATTAGCAGTGTCTGAAATAGTCAAACCAGCCCATCCGACTTCAAGAGCCCCATTTCCATTAGTAACTCCTCGGATTGACTCACCATGGATCGCCAAGGTTTCCAGGGTTTTCCATTAGGTTACCTGCTCGGCTGTTGTTCCAAGCGATGCGAGCAGGCACTAAAATGTGACGTTGTCACACTGCATGCCACCGATTGCCATGCTATGCAGCACTGCTATGACAGCGACAACGTACATTAGGTGGTACTCGATTATAATAGAAAATTGGTCAAACCAAGTAGGTACTAATGGAAAAGAGGCTTTAAATCAACCTTTCTTCCCTTTTCTGACACTGAGTTTGAACTTCAGCAGGTGGTCTACATGCCTAAAACAATCGAGTTGATATGTGATTAACTGATGAGATAGTTCTGTTAGTAAGTAGCTGAATGGGTGTACCTAATAAAGTGTCAGGTGCATATTCATTTTACATGCCCAGTATTCTTGCAAACCCTACTCATAGTTATTTCTATTAATTCTATAATTATTAATTCTGACATGAGAATGCATGTGTCTGTTGGTGGCCATTTAAAAGTCACAGTCTTTAACGCTTAGATATGTTGTTTGTGTATCAAGTAGAAAACAAACAAGCGATGAAACGATGAAAAACTCTTCCTCATAAATAAAAGGAAGAAATGGAAAAGAGAATCTCAGTCAATCGGGCAATGACACCCAAAAAGAATCAGATAAAGGAAAGTCAAACGGAGACAAAGCTACTTTCATCTTCAAATAAAAACACATAAAAGGAGCCAGTGTTAGCCAATAATAAGAAATATGTTTTAAAAGTGAAGTAGCCACTGTGGCTCCAGGGCCAAGCTGTGGTTCACTCTGTTTGAGTCACTAAAGATAGACATCAAAGATTAAGATATCAAACGGTTCATCTTCTGTCCCTCTAATATTATACTCTCATGCTCTGCTTATCTGTCATCTCCTCAAAGCTCATGCCATGGCAGTGCAGCACTGTGTGGTCTCTCTGCAAGTACAGGATGTCGAGAAACAGACCAATTGAGTTAATGACTATCTGACATAGCCTACAGCTATAACAGGAATTCTTCAAACCCAGTCAGAACACTCAGATGTGGGGAAAAGAGGCAGACAGGGAGGGGTGAGGCAAAGACACATGGGAGAAAAGGCTGAGTACTCTTAAGTACTATCATTTTTTTAATAATAAAAATAGAAATATATGGCTACTAACATTACACACAGTAGCAGGCAGGCAAAACACACATATTAGTGCAAATACTCAAATGTGCATGCACAAACATGCACAAAAAATAATTAAATTTTTAAAAAAAAAATTAGGTGCCACTTAGCATCAGAAACTCAGCTAAATTACAGAGGCAGCAAGAAAACAATGTTGGGGAGCAAGATCAGACAGGGCTAACAGAAAACAGGCTGCTTTCTGCATTCCAGGACAGTCAGCCCAACACAACACAGACACGGGGAGAGACACGGAGACAGACCATCTCTGGCCTAAAACCATACATCTGCCCTGTTCTCCCAGATGGGCCGAGTTGCGGTGAAAAGGTTTTTTTGTTCTTCCCGTTATTCCTGTCTTTTGCGGTAAATGGAAGCTCCTTTTGAGGACAAGAGAAGGACAATGAGGAGCAGCTACAGAGGTGGTTATGTTATTGTACTTTCAAGTGCTACACAGTACACAATACATGTGAACCATTTTTCTAGAAATGACCTCAGTGAACCCAGCACTGGCTGTCAATGCAGCTACTACCAAACCATCATGAACAAGCATTACATTACTTTGAAAATACAATGGAAAAACTGGAAAAACTAACCAAGTTGTCTCTAGATTAATTTATGGTTTTATTTACAGTATGGGAAAAAATCTGTAGCCACCCCTAATTTATATTACTTTACTAGGAAAAGCCTCCACCATGTTTTACAGATGGCTGTAAACCACTGAACCTCTCTCCTGACCTCCTTCGTACATAATGACAATGATTTCAACTACCTTAAGAATGGCTTCTTGACAGCCAGCCATCCACTAACACTCTTCAGTTGGGGTCCTTTGTGTCAGGTCTTTGCTAGCTGAGTTTTTTCACCTTTCTTAAAAACATGACTTTTTAGATACTGTTCATCTGCTACAGAAAGTTTTTTAGGCCTGCCACTTTCTGTTTATGAATAAATAAATAGGTTTTTCTAGCTGTTCGTGTAGACGGCACCAGTTCATTCTTTAAGTTACAACTGTTGTAACTGTAACTGAGCAGTTATATCTTCACCATTTTTATTAACCCCTTATCTAAACTGGCTCAAAGTCATGAGGGAGCTGGGGCCTACTCCAGCTGTCATCAGGCTAGAGGTGAGCTACACCCAGGACAGGTCATCTCTCCTATCTAATCATAAACGAGTCTTATTGTTATTTGAGAAAGTAATATTAATCTTCATATCTTAGTATAGTTCACGTACACCTATGTACACAACCACAATGCACACATGCACTCTGCTTCTCCTCTTGCAGGTCAAAGACCCTCTGGCAAAATTTAAAGTTTACTTCCAAGACACTGTACAATTAAAAGGATGTTTTATTAGATGAGAAATTAATCCAAGTAATACTAACACACAGATAATCTGGCAAAAATGTGAATGTTCCACATTGTTTATCATAAGCCATCTGTGTGAACCCTCTCAAAGTTGAACACCACAGAATCTTTTCTTCCCTCTGTTCCCGTTCCCTCCTTTGTATGTGCGCCCTGAGAACACACAGTTAACAGGATCCGCTAACTATAATATGAAGGCTGATCCTCCTCTGGTGACAAGAGGCAGTAAAACAGTCCATTTTGATTTGCTTTCAAAATATGTTTTACAGTTTGGGGCACAAAAGCTTAGGCAAACAGAGATCCAATCTACGACATTCATCATCCATGTCCAATTGGAGAGGAAAGAGAGAGCTGGCCATCAAACTCCTATTAAAAGTATATTAGACTGAAAATCTCTTCAGCAGCCCGAAGGCAGTCAAGAGAGATTCTTTTATGAGTATTTGCTAAAAGAATGATCTGTAACAGCCAAATAATCTGTATGTCAACTCGGTCCAGAACGAATTAGAACATGAATAGCAAACACACCAGGTTTTAATATGATGGCAATAGGAAGGAAAATGCCTAAATGTTATAAAGGCATAAAAACAACTAGTACAATATCAGAATTTTATAGTTCCCTTCGCCTCTATTTTTTCCAGGATTCCTTTTTTGTGATAGATATCTACTCACAGTAGAGCTATAACACATATAGTACATGCCACAAGTTTCTATATTAAGTCAACTTGTGAAGTGAACTTGAGAATTTTGGCTTCAGACACGAATTACATCTTCACTGCATATTCAAGTGGAACCATCTTTTTTCCCCTTTGTGTAATATATTTTGTGTCTTTTTCTGACATTCTCACAATAAAATATATCAGGTCACCAGGTCTTAGTGAATATGCTGCAATTATCACTGATAATCACTAAACTTATATGACATAAACAGTCACAGATATACTGAAAAAAAGCACTGAGCCATATACAAAACTGTGACCATCTTCAAAATATATCAAAAGTCAGACCAACTTTTATTAGTAACCTGAATGAGCCACTGATAAAGATTTAAAATGCTAAGTGGGTACCCGTATCCACTGGTTGGCTTTTTTCTCCACAGCATTGCTTGGACGCTCTGAGTACAGTCCCCAAAGACACCCAAGCAGCAGCCCTCTGCTTGTATCTGCAAAAAAATACACCACCACATAACGCATTATACACCATGCAAGAATGATTACCATCATTATTACTTTTATCTGTTTTGGGGATGTGAAACCCACTAGCGATTGAGTGCAAGTTGTCCAGAAGCTCCACTCACCACACACGGTGATATAAGGATTCCAGCACAGCCGACCCAAAAGCTGGCCTAAGAAGGGCAGCCTCTTCATGGTTTCTGTTGTTGAGCTCTTAGAGGCAGAAGGAGGGAGAGAGAAAAAAGACTTTATACTGTACGTGTTTTTCATTTTCAATACTCTCTTACTTCTGGGAAGGTACATGCAGAAATATGTTTCTAATAGGATGGAAATATGACACAAATGGAAGAAGGACAACAAAGGAAATATCTTTTCATTGTTTCACTGTATTACAGATGTTTGCACCTCGTCACCTGTTTCATTTATCCTTTTAACCTAGCAACACTTTGTCATAACATTAAACATTAGAAGAATCTTATAATCACAATCCTTCCTAATTAGAACTGAGCTGAGTAACAGACACATCAACAGCTGTACAGTATACTGCTCACGCATCACCTTGTTTCCTTTGTTATGGTCATGTCACAACTCCTTCCATAGACTCAACAGTGATAGATACAGAAAACAGAACACATTGCAAAACAGGGCTCTGGTCAAGGGTGCGATACCTGTAAGGGTTTAAGTACTCATGTGTGTGCTTGTTTATCCAGCTCAGAATAACAGACCATGTGATATAGTTCACCTCACAGCCAATTAAAACATCCAGAGATGTTTGGAGCAACAGCAGATGCTGCTTTTGAACTGGAATGACTTTTACACTTGACTTCTTATAACTTTAATTTCTATCCATTTTCATTTAATGGAATATCAAAAAAACACTGCCGATACCCTCATATGAACAATAATAAAGCAGAGCTTGTCCCAGTACTTATCTTTTAAGGCCAGAACTAGTTTTACAACTTCTACAAATGGCTCTTTAACAATATCCAGACCTAACTTATAGTTTAGCAAAATATAAATATATCTGTCACAAATTTAATTCATTCTAGTTTTACCTTTGCTAGCAAAAGGCAGAATTTTCATTCAAACTGGAGACTGAGGCTTTGAGCTTAGATTTGGAAAAGAAAATACATATAAATAAACAGGTGTACGCTTCTTTTGTTGTTTTAACTTATTATTTTATGGGTTTGCTACATCAACATGATTGCCCGCACTGCGACATGCAGAAAACAGATCAAAGAGATGACGCATGACTTAAATTTACAAGCATGTCTGCACATGTGAGCAGGAATCATGTTTACGTGCATGTGCAAAATTTCTTATTATTCAGCCCATATTAACAGACTATATCATACATTTAACCTCTGGGCTAATTTAACTCTACAGCAAGTCTTTACAGCAGAAAAATCCCACACAGTGATTCTGACATATGCCAGATGTAATTGAAGCAGCGTGCTGTTGCCTAATCAAAGACAATTGCTCTTACTTCACTCCCATGTAGGGCTGAAATAATTTGTTTATTGGAGAAGCTGAATGACAAATAATTAATCTGGAAAACAGATCAACAGGCAGTTAGAGATGTTTACTAGGGTTCTGTTCAAACCTAAAACTCTGAGTAAAAATGTGTGTGGAAATGCAATAGACAATCAAACAGAAGTACAGATGGTGGTAGACACAAGGTGCACTCGAGAAATTCTACTTTCTGTTTTTTGCATGACTTTAGTTTCCAGCTTTTACAGGAAAAAAGAAAATTGGAACAAAGTGATTATTGTTCCAATTGTCCAATTAACAATTACCCGCTTTTTTGTTTTGTCTTGTGATATAAATCTGGCCCAAGTTCACTTTGCGGTAGGTTGTTGCATGTGAGGTCTACATCACTTTTTCCTCTGGTGAATTATTTTTAGAGTTCAAAGAAATCCGCTGTTGAAAATCTGTTTATTCTAAAGTCATTGACTAACCTTGTAGAGCAAAGTCTCCTATTGAACATGCCTGGGACATGCCGGGTCAATGTGTGCATCAGATACAGCCACAACTAGGGTTATGCCATATCACATTGTCCGCAATAAATGGTAACTGGCCTGTACTTGTAAAGCGCTTTACTTAGTCCCTAAGGACCCCAAAGAGCTTTACACTACATTCAGTCATGTGAATGTGTACAAATGTTTACATGACTAAAAAAGTGTGATATTACGATATCAAGAATGCAATTCAATTGTATTTATAGCACCAAATCAAAACAACGGCCGCCTCACGGGGGCAGCCATATGCCGCGACCAGTTGGGGTGAGGGGAGGAAGACAGGACAAGAGACATGCTGTGGATTATTAAGAAGAAGAAGAAGGTTTACGTTTCTTAGTGTACAAAACAACATGAAAAAACCAGCCATGTCTGAAAGTGAGAGCCGAGTGCAGCCTCCAATGAATTAAGTTAATAGGGAGCTACTTTGAAATCTTCCAACAAACAGCAATGCTTTGTGAGGAGGGGGGAAAAGCAGCTGGTGATATACGACCCAAAAGAAAACAAATAGGAACAAAAAACTATCTTGGTATTTTAAGAAAAAAAAATCTGCACATTTAAAAAACACACCACCCTGTTTTGTTTTTGTTTGTTTTTTTTTATCAACAGCACATAAGAGCAGTTACTAATACTGCTGCATATTATTTTACAGTGAACAGTAAGCAGTAAAAAAAGAGAAAATGAACGTTTCTTTCGAAGCCATTATGCATCAATAGTGCTCTTTCCACCAGAATCAATCAGAAAACAAATGCAGAAGTTTCAAAGCAGGTGGGGGGAGGAAAAAAATGAGGCAGCATCAGGCTGATGCGTTTAAAAGGATCACCAGACTGTCAAGGAGACCGAGTTGACTCATTCAAGGGGATGAGATCAACATTAATGGGAAGCATGATGATAATAGGCCAATCAGAGTTTCTATAAAACCCCAACTATGCCTAACAAAACCAGCAACGCCATGTGAAACTCAGCCTCTCACACACACTTAGCCTTACCATCAGCTCAACAACCCATGGCAAATGTTGTCTGTGGGCATATGCATGAGCCTTTGCATGCTGCTGGTGCAACTAAAAAGGAATGCACATTTACAATAGAAACAGCACCATACTTTGTGACTGCACTGACTGAATTCCCACAAGAATAAGCCATCGCGAACAAAGTAATTATCTAAGACTACCAAAGCAAGAATCAGCATCAAAGCCTTGTCAACCATGTCCCTAATTGTGAAGTGGGTTTGCATCCATGTGTCTTGTTTTGATTAGGGACAGACATCTCAGACAGAAGTGACTGATTATGTACAAGCGAAGCAGCCAATGGGACAAGTTTATAGAGAAGTGAGGTAACACTTTTGTCCCTGACATCATTGATCCACAGTCGCAATAGCCTTGACAATAAATACCAAAGTTGCTATGTTGATCACATAAATATACACTCACCAGGCACTTTATTAAGTTCACCTTGCTAGAACCAGATTGAACCTGTTTATGCATTCAGAACTCCATTATGAGACTCAGCAAGGTGTTTCAGAGATTGAACATGGTAGCATACAACTATTAACGCAGATTTTTTGGCTACACATTCATAATGAAAGTCTCCTGTTTCCAAAAGTGCTCCATTAAATTGAGATCCTGTAACTGTAGAGACTATTTGCAATAAACTCATCATCATGTTCAAGAAACCAGGTTGAGGTGATTTGAGCTTTTTAAAATCAGGCTGGAAAGCACCCTTCAAAGGATGGGTACATTGTGGCCATAAAGGGATGGACAGGGTCAGCAACGATATATAACATATATAAAATAACAATGCCAAGAAAATATCCACCACACATCGGTTGCTAGGTTTGGACTTCAGCACGTCTCTTTGACCATGCCTACATTCCTAAATGCACTGAGTGGCTGCTATATCATAGATATGATACCTATTATTTTATATTGTGATAAATTACATACTTGTGTTTACAAGTACACCCAACAACATCCTCCCTTCATGTTACTTTAGTGGTCCAGGATTTTCTGATCAACTCCTTTGAGGAGTGATGTAATAATGCATCTGTAGTGTAGCAGGCATGTTTAAAAGAGGACTTGTACAACAGATAGCAGTGTAAAGTAAAGTAGTGTAAAGTGTGTAAAGTGTGCATGTTAGTCCCCGTAGGGAAATAGTTCCTCTGCATTTAACCCATTCACCCAGTGAAGCAGTGGGCAGCCACCAATGCAGCACCCGGGGAGCAGTGTGTAGGGACGGTACCTTGCTCAGGGGTACCTCAGGGTAGCCGTTCAGTGGAGTCGAACCACCGACCTTCCGATCATGGGGCCACCACTCTACCTACTGAGCTACCCCTGCCCTGGTGCACATATTTAAACACTTGACATTTGAGGTGAATATGATCGCTTATTTTCTTGTTCAGGGATAAAATAAAACAATGAATATACTGTATGAAGCTAGAACCAAAATTCGGCTTGGCATAAAGATTAGAAATAGGGGAATGCAGCTAGCTGAGCACCCTCCAAAATTCACCCAAATCCCAGCTCAGCAGCTGATTAATCTCATTCATCCTTTCTAAAATGTAGGAGCAAAATAGCAACATCACAGTGATGGATACAGTCACACTAGCTGTTAAGGTAATTAACCCGTCTTCTGGCTGCAGCTCCAGATGGATAGAGATGACAGCAGCAGTGGTCTTCTCATCCAAGATCTCGATAAGTGAAAACGCATACCTCCTAAAATGCAACTATTCCATTATGCAAGGCAACATCCTCCACTGTTCTAATCAAGTGTAAACCTGGAAATTAACAATAACTTGGAGTATTTTTCATCTCAGACCATAAGCCACAAGAAAGTTGTTAAGTCATCAAGGGATGTAAAATGCTGCCAAGAAGCAGGCTATCCTCAGCTGGTCTTTTATGAGCCAACTGCCAGTAAAACGGATTTCAAGCCAATTAAGCTATACCATTCTCTCTCTTTGAATCCGTGCCATCATTCTACACACACTGACACCTCGGCATGACATATACCCAGAATAATGTTAACGGAAAAGAAGAAAGACAGAGAAAAATATCTATAAAAATATGGGGCTAACCCCAAAACCAACAGGGAAGAAGAAAGACAGGCAGACATGGGACTGTTTCTGACTATTATCAAAGTGTTGCGGTAAAACATATGGAGTACATAGCATCACAAATTAGATCCTGAAAGGACACTATGACTCATGAGAGGACTCCTTTTGCAAGAAAAGCGGGTCACAAGAACCCGTGAGAGGAGAAAAAGCTGGAACGAGGCAAAATGACCATATAGAAACACCGAAATCTCACAGCGGCCATCCTGTCCCCTTCCCAAATTTGCTGAACCTGATACTGGGATACATTAGGTTAGCACTGGAGGTCCCAGTGCGGCTATTACCTGACTAACTCAACATCGCAGTGCTGCCAGCCAGACATACACAGCCTGTCCACAGCACAGAGCAGCTTCTGTTAGCGGGCTCCTAACGATGGACTCATGTTCATGCCCTGGCTCTAAAAGGGAGTGAACTCGCATACGGGGCGTGATTTTTAAACTAACTTAGCGCTTCGTTATTCAGATGGCTGCTTGGCTGTTCAACCTAGCTGATTAATTGTTCTGTTCTATTTCATCAGATAAGGCATTTGGAGCCCATTAAGCACACCTCTTAAAATATACAGAGCATTTAATCAGACTGAACAAGCATCTAAGAAGTCTGGTGTAGGAACAAGACCATCCACATTTGTCAGAAACATACACCTCAGGCTTATACCTGCAGCTTGACAAAGTTCACATGGGCCCCACTGTACACTTTTTGTGCTTACCATGCTGTTCACTTGTGTAAGAAGCTGGTGGAGGAAATCCCTAAGTCTGCTCATATGTAGGCAGGTGTCTTTCTGCGTGTCCGGACTGTCAGCCTGGCCCCATGCCACTGCTTTGTCCAGCCAGAACTGCATCTCCTGGTCATTCAGCAATGGCTCTTCAGTTTGCAGGGGCTGGCTCAGTGGCTGCTGCTCAGACATTTGGCTGCTGGTCAATGAAAATTTACTGAGGAGCTAAGAGTGGAAAGATAAACAAAAAAAAAAAAAAAGGTAAAATCCAAATATTACACAGAGAGTATCTTATAATTTGTTCTTTATCATTTTTATTGGTACTTTCATTTATATACTATTTTTACATTTATGATCTTGACTTTGTGCAATGATTTAAAGTATATTAGCAGAATCTCTAAATGTTTTAAAGAAATTCTGTTTTGTATTGTGGAACTGGGCCACCCAAGACACTTAACCTGTAAACAGTGTTGAACACGGAAACTCCTTTGAAACCAGAACCTTCTTGCTGTGAGGCAACAGTGCTAACCACCACACCAACGTGCTGCCCTGTATTGAAAACATTAATCCAAATATATCAGTTAATAATTTCAATCTGCCAATGTTATTGCTGTGCTCTTCTTTAATATGTGTTCCAAAACTTTGAAGCACAGGTGGCACAGGGGGATAATCCAATAACAAGCTGAATTTACAACAAGCAGAAAATAAATTGAGGCAAATCCGATTATGATAACCTCTCGGCGATCAGGCCTACTCGCACACACATTCATGACAACCTACTGAAAAATAAACAGCACATTCTTCACCTTTTATGAAGACGGGGAGAGAAAAAACGTGTGTGGGGTGTGTGTGTGTGTGTGTGAGGATGTGTTTCGTGTCTGTAAATAGCCTGCTGAGAATGGTGTGTGTATTTGTTGTTTTTTGCTATAATGACGGGTCTGCGTGGGACACCACAGAGTTGTGTTTTATGATCACGTCGTTACACACGATTTGTTTAATGTCTTGCCATCATCTCTGCTGGAAAGCCCCTATGGCTCGCTGATGTGAATATATAAATACTCATTTTCAGGCAGGAAAAAACCCAGACCAAATTAGGAACAAACACCCCTTGTTGACTTGTGTCTAAGGGGCTCCATTTTTCAGTAAAGTAGAATTGAAAAAGAACTACGTGCTTAATAACTAAAAGTAATGATGTCACCCACAATTTCTATCACACAGGAACATGCTAAAAACTGTGGTCACACAAAGTTGTTGGTCCAAATGCATGTCAGAAGAAATATGTACATGCACAAACACACTCGTCAGCAGCTCTGGTGTTGGCTGAACACATTTTGGAGCAGGAACGAGATGTGACTGGTCAAATATTTTCTTTGAAGATTTGTTAAACTAAGCTTGTGGACTTTGGGTTACTCTGCGTTTGCTGTTCCAATTATGAGATTGTTGACATTATTTCAGTATAATCAAATCAGTCAAACATCACTTCTGGCAAATTTACTTCTGTATGCTCAAATATGTCATATTTAAAAACACTTGGAATAACTGAGAAGGGCTGTCACAATATTAGTTTTGTTAAAGAGTTTAGAATAACAAAGTAATGCATTTATTCATTTTAACCAGTGTAGACAAAGCAACAAGAGCCATACAGTAACTTAATAAGTGGAAAATTATGTGAATTATATGCTATTACTTTCACCTCAACAACTGCAAAATGTTCAACTGTGCAAAAAGGCTTATTAGTTGGGTTGCAACAAAGCATTCTCATACTTAATATATTAGCTAGCAAAACATCTTCATTCATCTGTAATTCGCAAAGAATTTCTACAAAAGGGCCATGCCTTTTTTGCAGCTGAAAACTAAGTGGAAACCAAAGAGAGTTTGGTACTGACAATCTATTAATCTAATTTTAATTTCAGCAACACATCGCTACTTCCCAAAGTGATCTATTAATAATAATAATAATAATTAACCACCAAAATCCTTAAATTTATTGTAAAACACAAAATAAAGGCAGGTACTCCCACAAATTGAGCTGTACCTGTCAGTTTCCAAACACAGAAGCTCAACGGCTTGAATGCAGTAACTACGCCACACCACATGATGTCAGTACACATGCTGAAACATTGTCACTTCAGTGTTAACACACATAACTTCGAATTACAACTCCTATGCCAATCGGTTTCATACTGCTGCATGAGCCCAGCGCTGATTTTCTTCCTTCGTAGCCCGCAACTCCTGGTATCTCAGCTGTTCGCTAATTAATTAAACCACTCTACAGTTACACGTCAATTTGCTCCTGTAGTTTCAAATTACGACTTGCCTGTAAATGAGACGTATAGCCATTAGACTAAAATCTCCACGGAGCAGAAGTCAACTGTATCCAATCATTCTTTATGACTTCGGAGAAGAAGGAAAGCTATTTGTGACTCGATGAAAACAAACTGAACTTCCCTCTTCAACCGGGGTTCCGCGTATGGAAGAAGACAATTGGCTGGGCTCGACGTCACCCGCGAACTTCCTCTCCGCACTGCCAGGTGGGAAATTGAGTCATATGGCTGAACGCTAAAATATTATCTGATAATGGCCTCGGCACACTGCAAAGACTGAAGTATGAGCAATGTTCCCTCTAATTTTTCATGTGTCTGAACGAACACACAAACTCCCTGAGCGGTCCCTTGGACCACTGTAAGCAACATTAGACGTGTGCACTGTGGTCACGCCAGCATCGAATCCATCCAAGTTACATGGTTTATTAAAATAACCAAATTACAGCATTTACATTTATGTTAGACTTCTTTTAATTAACTGCTTTAGCCCACTTACAATGAAAAAAAAAACTTGTTCATGACCTGTGCAGTATGTTAACACTATTGGAAGTAAAAATAACATGAACTCCAATTTTGAAAACACAACTTTCTTTTCTTTTTCTTTTTTTTTTTATAAAGCTCTGACTTGTATTATGAGTATGAGTCTGTGGTCTCGGAGAGAGTCCTGTAACTCTCTGTCTGCAAAATACAGTATATAATGACCAATGTTGGGCAATTAATTATATAGTTACTTCTTCAAAACAAAGTTTTTTGCAGCTGTTTACCTAAAAATGCAGCCAAGGCGTTTTTTGTTTTTTTTAAATAAACATTTCAAACTATTTACAGAACAATCAGGTGTTCTGCATCAAATTTGCCACACAAATTATTTGTGCCACTCCAACAAATAATTTCTGTCCACTATGAGATAAAGGAGAACAACAACAAAAAAAAAAAACTGGTATAAAGTCCACACTTTTTCCATCAATTGTCCTGATCGCATCTCCAATGGTTGTACACGTTGTCGTTAACGTGGCTTCACTCCACATCAGCCGCTTTGCTAGCTAAAACACCGGCGTTGGCACATAAGGACGCTGTCATAGCCTGTCAATGATGTTGATTAGCTGCATAGATATGAATGTGAATCGCATTATTGGCTGGACTATGGGATAAGGTGGCATCGTTCTGATCCCATACTGGAGCAACCAGTCACTTACTAATACTGAAAACAGAATTGTTAACGTATTTATTTTAATTTCAATTCAGGTTAGATATTTTTTTGTGCGCAAAGCAGATTTTCTGTGCGCAGAGACCGTGCCAGCAGTGCGTAATTGCGAACGCGCGCAGCTTGTAGGGGATATGGAGTATGAGTATAACGAACAACCATGAAATTTGAAGGTTTAAAGTGGTATGCATAAAGAGTTGCCAGTGCTTCACGAAGAAGTAAAGAAAATAGTAAAATAAAGGTTTATTTGGATATTTTGTTAATGTAAGTAGTTTACAATGAACCAGTAGTCAGAGAAAGAATAGGACCTTTTCTTCTGTTGAAGAAGTAGAGGAGGCTGCAAAAATGTTAGGAATGTTTGAAAGTCTTGCATAATATAACACCATTATGGTTTGGTTGGTTCTCTGATTATTGTCATAATAATGCCTTACTTGTGTTGTTTATTTATTTATAGAACAATTACAGAGCAATTTTAAACATCATATCCTGACCAAAGTGATGAGATGCTGACTGATTACTAAGAGGATGTGAGTACACAAGCTAAAGTCTTGACACAATAGTATTTAAGGGAACAGACCAATAAAAACAAAAAGTGAAAAATGAAAAACAAAGCCTGGCGGTCATGCTGTTTGATTTAACTTAATGAATTCCATGTGATTTCCAACTTGTTATAAATTATAATTGCATGTGATCTATTGTGTTTTCACACTGTCATGTTGTCATAATTTGTTTAATCTAATCGTTTGTTTAATGATGAAAATATACATCTTTTCCATGCATAGCCTTATGTTCTCATCTGAGTGTACACATTTTCTTCGGGTTAAGGGTCCACAAGGTGAAGCAGAGTGCGTAGCATGGCCAGGAATTCAGGGGTCCCAGAGTGTGTCCCTCTGGGACCCAAACCCAAAACTGTGAAGGGTTTCTAATCTGCATAGCTCAAACTGACAAATCACCCAGAGGCTCCAGTCAGACCCAGAGCAGCCTAGCACTCTGCACCAGGAAACGGTTGTTTAAACATACGTAATACATTGTGGGAGTTCATGCATGTACGTCTGTGTACATAAGCACGGATCCCAACATTAGAGTAAAATGTTGGTATTTGAACTCCTTGCAACACGACTTGTGCATGTGTGTATGTGTGGCCCGGTAACGGTTAATGTAAGCCTTTAATGCTGAATATTCAAGTACAAGCTATGGAATGTGTGCACACTAGTAAAGCTATGCAGTGTGTTTGATTTGGGAATATGTTTAAAGTGGTTTAGTGGCTCTACATCAGACTTCAGAATTTCTGTGGTAGGAAAGCCCAGGCCTGTGGTTTTGTGCAGATGAGTGTAAGCTATAGTGGGTGTGTGACTACAGGTGTGTGCGCTTATTTAAGTATGTGTGTTCAATAGCTTTAAAATAATGCTGAAATTGTATGTACAGGCTGTGAGATGTAGCTATCTATCTATCTTACACATTTAAGTATATAAATGTGTTTCTAATATTGGGATCTGCTAACATCCAGAAAAAGCAGATGATAAGCCACCACCAGAAGCTTGCCATCAGCTCCACCCTCGTTGCCTGCTTGGGCCAGCATGTAGGTCAACCGGTGCTTGATCACTCCACATGCATTGTGGTGTGTGTGTGTGTGTGCGTGTGTGTGTGTAAGTCTTGTAAAAACATCAGACTATGGGTTTGGAACAAGGTCCCTGGCAAAACTCAAAAAAACTAGCGAGAGAAGGAAAGAAAAACCACGGCAAAAACTTTAGAGAGTGTGGTTTGATGCCCAAAGTGGAAACCCACACGCTGATGTTTTTTGTGTGTGCACGCGTTTATGTATGCGGCTGTGGGTGTGCGTTGCGATGCTTATGCTTGAATGGGCACATATATGGATTCTAGAAGAAATGTAGTGTAAACCACGTGTGTTTTTCCTGTACTGCTACTCTGTGATTATTACAGAGCCAAGAGACGGGTTGTCATGCAGTGGAGCAGCAATTCATCCATTTGCTGGTGTGTGTACGTTTTGCATGTGTGTATGTTTGCTTTCGTGCTTGGAACGGAGACCTGATCACAGCCAAATGGGCAATTGTGCCAGTGGGATCTTATTTCAACATCCAGACACAGTTTGGGACACTAAATAAATAAATAAGATAAATAAAAATTTATGACTACTATTGTGTTGATTTTGACATGTAGAAACTCTCTGCACTCTCAAATTCCCAGGTTCACCATCTCAATTACAATATCGAAATCACTAACAGTAGTCCCATTAGATCATTTAGGAAAACATAAAGACACAAAATAGAACATAGCCAAACTGTGATGCTGGAAATTAGAAATGCAACTCCCACCCCAGTGAAAAAAATATTAAGCATAAATAGAGTTTAGGGAAAGGCAAAGCATGTGATGAACAAATTTTTCAAGTTGTCTTTTTGACCTTGTGGTTTGGCCAGAGAGAGATGGAGCCAAGTGAGGAGATTGGATATCAATCTCTCCCAGGGTCACTGGAACCAAGAGCTGCACAGCTGCTGACAAATTAGTCAGTTCTGATCCAAACCAATGCTTTTACCAGTTCTGGTCCAAACCAAAGCTATTACCAACCTGGCTCTGCCACCGTGGTTCTATACGACTTGCATTTCTCACTAAACCATCCACCGATGCTGCTCTGTTATATGTTATATGGCCAGCTTCTGTGAGTGTATTCGTGTGGAAAATATGATGGCTAAGATAAAGTACATTTTTAATTTCATCGTTTAAGAAAACAAGGATTATTCTTTTTGCATTTATAAAATAAAGTGAAGAAAATGAGATATAAGCTAATCTTGTTTGGTGAAGTTACGTATAAATCAAGAAGCCTTGAAAGTTGTACTTTATTTGAAAGTGTGTTTACAACAAAAAAGCATGGAAAAGACCAATTTTCCAGCATCTCAAAGGTGTTGATTCCTCTGTGATAAAATTTACTATAAATGATCACAGCTGGGCTTTATCAGGAACTCATTAAGGTGAGGAAGGGGAGGAAGGAAAGAGACATTTAAATTAAAACAAAGGAATGTGCTGTTTAAAATCTTCAGATCTGTTTGGGCTTAACTCTGATGTCTGGCTTTGAGGAAACACAGAAGGAGGGGGCCAAGGAGAGAGAAAGAGAGAAAAAGCATTTTTTTTTTTTGAAGAAAAAGGAGTAACTGTTAGAGGTGTCTCCTGACATTGGGCAGCTCTCCTTCATTAATGGATCAATGTCTCAAAAAAGTGTTAGTCTGTAACTGCATCTCTGGTGGTTTTACTTTAATGTGCATTCAATTATTAAGGAAAGTTGGGACAGGCTGCAATGCCAGTAATGTATTTTGACAGAAATAAGTCTGTTTTAAATGTACTAGTCTAGTTTAACTCCAGCGATTTTATTTTTGTTATCTTCTCTTTTCATTTTCTTTGAAATAAAGTAGGAAGAGTTTGCTGGGTTTAAAGGTATCGACTCCATATGCTTTGGTGGCTTTGTTTCAGAAGGAAGAGCAGATTGTCCCCGGCTACTCACGGGACCCTCAAGTTGCCCTGATGTGGGAGTGTATGTGTAAATGTTACACAGGGTGCTTGCATATAGAAAAAGTGTTTTCATCAATCTATGTATGATTAGGTAAACAAGGCTTTAAAAAAAGGGAAAGGAACAGGCCAGTCTTCCAGCGCCCTGTCAGCTCCTATTAGCACTATGTCTTTTACTGATTAGATTGCTGTTTGCTCACCTCCTGGAGCTCTTCGGTCTGCTCCAAACATGGAAATTTACTGATTAGCAATCAAGGTGTTTATGCTTGT